TTAATATCACAGCACAATAATCCTGCTGTGATGTCAGTCATATTTGAGCTCATTTTAAAGGAGCAGTATTGTATAAAACCAACTTTGAGCTTTACAAAACACATAATACTTCCCCTTTAATGTTGTGTAAATGGCTCTACAGATATTATTTTGCTCCTTTATGTGGTTCAGTGTCATTAACAATTTGATTAATGAGCAGAGATCAATTTTCCAAACTTCCAAGTTAATGTAAAGGAGTGGATTGTTGGATTTTTCCCATGATGAAGACCAGAAAGTTCAGGAGCAGATCTGGATGTTTTAAAAGTTTGATCAAATGGTCTCCTTGGTTACAATCAGCCGTGTTTCTGGTTGTTTACTCTTTATTGCCTCATGCAGGTATTCTGCAGCTTGTAAGAAGCTTCCTGGAAGTTTTGCTGCGGACCCCGACCCGCCCCCTGCAGCAGCTTGAACATAGACCGCCTCCCCCTTCTGTTCTGACAAATAGGAATCCAGGAATAAACGGGAGACAAAGAGAGAAAATCAGTGCAACACGGGGAAGAAAACAGGAGGGGATGGGAAAAATTCAGCTGCTCACTTCCTGGATGAACAGGCTCAGATGGAGAAATGTTTCTGCTCCAGTTTGGTTCTCCCAGAGTTTCTGCTCAGATGGACCCAGAAGAACATCTGTCCACATGCAATCCAACAGAAAAACACTTCCTGGTTACCAAAATCTTTATTTAACCAGGAAACCTCCCTGTGAGAGGTGAAATATGTTCTGGTCGAAATGCTTCCAGAACAACATTAAGGCAGAACCAAACACAACTGTAGACAACAAACTGGTAAATCAGAGTCATAGGCAGAAGAATCATCTGGGTAGAAATTAAACAAAAACTAAATTTGTCTCCATAGAACCAGACTTGGTCGTTGAAGCAGCAAATTTTATGATATTCTATATATTTTGCATCAGTTATCAACTTAAACTGGGGATTTTGAGGGTTCTGGTTCTGATCTGAGTCCACTTTAGCCCCAGGATCTGAAACTGATCTTTTAGACCCAGTTCTGGTTCAGCGGATTCCAACAGTTAAAAATAAACATCTCACGATGTGAACTGAAAGTCTTTTTCCTGCAGGATTTCATTTGGACCAGTGGACATTTAATCTGCTTCAGCTGATTCTTAATGAGTTCATGTTATAATATTTTGGTCTCCGGTAAAAAAACAAAACCAGAGGGAAAATCAGGTTACAAGATCCTGGAAGAATGAGTGGAATCTGGAATATAATGGGATCTAAAAATGTGTGTCCCACAAATTTTTCAAATCGCAGCTGAGTAAATAGTCCGATAGTCCGGATCTCCTGGACTATCGGTGCTGTTTGAGAACATGAAGGTTCCTAATGCAGCTGCTGAGGAGAGGGGAAGATGGACCGAACCAGAACTTTATGTCAGCATCTTTCAACAGCTGCATTGAACTGAACCACTGACCTGAAACTCATCGAGCCAGACATAAACAAGTCCAAATCCAGCTACCTGGAGCGTCAAACTGATCCCAAACGCCTCATAGCAGACGAATCTCACTGAGCTTCAATGTTGCATTCAAGTACATCTGGATTATCCTAATACTCCTAAAGGGTTTAAACCTTTTTATTCTCAAACGTATGAACAGATCTATAAAAAGAATCCTGACCCAACGTATTCTGATCCAGAATGCTGCTGCTCGCGTTCTCACTAGAACCAGGAAAATAGAGCACATAACACCAGTTTTAAAGTCCCTCCACTGGCTCCCTGTAGCTCAAAGAATAGATTTTAAAACTGTTGTTTTAGTTTACAAATCACTGAATGGTTTAGCACCACAATACATCAAAGATCAGCTGTTGTTGTATCAACCTTCCAGACCTCTCAGGTCTTCTGGTTCTGGTCTGCTCTGCATCCCCAGAACCAGAACCAAGAGAGGAGAAACAGCTTTCAGCATCTATGCACCAAAAATTTGGAACAAACTCCCAGAAAACTGTAAAACAGCGGAAACCCTGACTTCCTTCAAATCTCAAGTAAAAACGCACCTGTTTAGAGTTGCATTTGAAATGTAATTTATTTATTTATTTTTTTTTATTTTTTATTTTTTCCTGTTGTGGGCAACGGGGCCCGGCGAATACCCGTGGTTAAACGGACGGCGGAGTCCGGCGGTAACAGGCGCTTAAATTCCGTGTCAAAGGGAAGGGGGAAGAAAGGGAGAGAAGAGGGAAAAAAAAAAAAAAAAAACTTGGTATTTTATTCTATGTTGCATGCCTTTGTGTTTTGTGTTTATGATGTAAAGCACTTTGAAATGCCTTGTAGCTGAAATGTGCTATACAAATAAAATTTGATTGATTGATTGATTGATTGATGGATTGATTTAATTTTTTTTATCATCCATCCATCAGCTATACCTAATTATTCTTCATCAACAATAATCCAGATCTCCAGTCAATTCTGTCGTCAGCCATTTTTCATTTGTTTCTGCTGATTGAAACAAATCGCAGCTTTTCTTCACCGTTCCTCCTCTATAAACAGGATTCATACCAATAGGGTTTATAACAGGGGTGTCCAACGTGCGGCCCGGGGGCTATTTATGGCCCTCGGTATTGATTTTTTGCAGCCTCCAACTGCAATTAAAAATAATGCAAATTGAAGACTTTTATTTGTGTCAGGCTGAAACTTAATACCCGTATAATTTTTTTTAACAAAAAGCAGAACCAAGTTTATCTACTGAAAAAGTGTCTGATGCTCCCAAATCAGCTTTTATTCTTCATTAAACTTGGTTAAACATAGCAAGCGTTTTGACAGACATAAATTAAAAATGAATAACATTCATTTTGAACAAAGAAAATAAATAAGTTCTTTATTGCTTCAACATTTTTTGCTCCCATGACAAAAAGTCTCCAATCTCTCAGCGAGAAGCAGCAGCTCTGCTCACGTTTTCCTCGTGCGTTTGCGTTGTTTTGGTCTGAAACGAGGTGTAGTTAATACATCCTGAACTAATTACAGTCACTATTGCTCTCCCAGCCTCGCCACGCCCTCACCTCTTCCTGCTGAAAACAACAGTTCATCCACTCTGCTCTGGCCAAGAGCTCTTGACCCAACACAAGATCTTCTGTGAACTTCTGCTGCTTTTTCATTCACTTTCAGTACAGAAGTCAGATTAGTTTCACAGGAAATGTGAAGTTTTGACATAAAAAGCCTCCCAAGCTGAATGGATGGGAGCAGATTCCTGCCTCACATTTGTTTTAAATCAGTGTTTTGTTTCTGTTCCCAGCTCGGTTTGTTTTCTCGGATCAGTGAAGATACTAAAGCGTTTTAATTTGAGGCTCCTGTGGAGCTTTGGTGTCATGCTGCTGGAATGTAAACAAATGCAGTAAAAGATGCTAATTACAAGCTGTTAACAACCGAAAATAAATCTCCTGTAATTCCCAAACATGTCAGGATGCTCTGCCGTGACTCAGACGGCAGAGAGACAGACGACGGGGACGGAGGGACAGGGGGAGGAGCCCAGGACAGACAGACACAGAGTCAACGTTACCGTCGGGTTGAAGTCGAACTCCTGTCCTCCTCCGGTCGTCCTCGGCGCTCTGAGAGGTGTGTGTCGCCATGCGATGACACCCTGAGAGTGTGTGTCTGTTTCAGACCCGAGACGCTGAGCGGAGCCGTGAGGAAGAGGAGGCAGAGGAGGAGGGAGAAAGAGGGTCCAACATGTGTCTTCCTGCCTGGGAGAGGACGCTGCCAACCTGCTGCGGGAATCTGAGCAGAGCAGGCGGTGAACGGGAGGAGAGGTCATGTTGGGGTCAGAGACCTGCAGATCCAGGAAACTGACTAAATTCAGCGGAGAAAACATCTCCAGAGGCGATGGAAGGAATTATTTTAATTGAGTTCACCTTCTTGTGTTTGGAATCACGTCTGGATGTCCATGTAGACGTTTCAAAATAAATTAAAAACCGTTTCCCTTCAGATTTGAAGAATCCCAGGAATCCTCTAGAATGAAATGATCAGAATTAAATAATAATAACTGGAATTCAGTCGTATTGAGTTACATTTACGTAGTTTTTATTTTTTTTAAAGTACTTATAGAAGTACTTGAGTAAAATTTCTGGATGAAAAACAAGTTTTAACCAAAAATCCACCAGACACAGACACACACACCTGCAGTTTTTGTTTAAACTTTTCATTGAAAGAAATTGATTTGCCTGATTTCTTTTAGTTTTATTTTCATATATATGAATCATTTTCACATTTGTCCTAAAAATAACATTTCCACTTAGCTTTACATTTTGGTTTATCTAATTGTGTCATTTTTAAATGTTAAATAATAATTTGATTAGTTGCTCAGTACTTGATTAGACTTTAGACCAAATACTTTTCTACTCTTACTGGAGAATTTTCTTGGATGGCAACTTTTTACTTTTAGAAAGTATATGTTGAAGTTGTGCTACTTTTCAACACTTTTTTTGGGGGGTACTTTGATGACAACAGGTGATGATACGGACTCATTTCGTCAGTGTGTGGCGCCCCCTTCAGGCTGCTTCAGTGCAGCGACTGAATATTCACAGAATTAGATGATTTAAAGCTGCTGCTGATGAAACTGTCAGTTTGATGGGAGAGCCTCTTAGTCCTGATTGTTCCTCCAGACATCTGGATGCAGGCGCCCCGTGCAGGAGGCAGCTGGAACAACAAAACCAGAGCATCATTGTTCAATGATTGTTTGAATGTTTGCGATGTTCCATATATGCATAAAAAAAGTAATATATTTACTGTTTTTCAGCTGATGTTACATTCAAATGATTAAAGTAGCATGGCTTCTAAATCCATTTTTTTGGTTTTGTACTCCTGTAAGATTAAAATCAGTAGCCACCGGTTTAGTTAGCCATAGTTTTCCCCCATTAATTACTGTTTTTATTTATTTCAGTTAACAAAAATGTTTCCTCAGTTTCACTTTTCATTACTTACTTTCAGTTGACCATAATAACTTTACCTCCGACCTTTTCTTTCGTCTGCAGGAGAAATTTCCCTCCATCGTTTCTCTCCCCGAAGGCTGCGGCTCAGAGGTCATGACCTTGAATCATCCCGAGCTTCCAGGGTAGAGATCCTCTCATCCTGGCAGAAAACCTCCAGAACCAGAGCCGATCCGCCTCTGAACTCGTCTCTGTTTCTGTTTGCAGCTGCGGCTTCTTCGTTCACTGGTGCATGGATGTTTCCACAGGGGGCGCCGTCACTCCCAAGATCCAGCTGCTGTCAAAGATCCCAGAGAAAGGTGAGAACAGGATAGGACATCTACCTGAAGTGCAGGTGTCATCCTGAGCCCCAGGGCCGGCCCCAGCCTCCATGGGGCCCTCAGTGAAATGTGGTTTGGGGGCCTCTAGTTCTGCTAACAATGTGGACCGGCTGCAATCAGCAGCCCGATTATTAGATCTTTCACACTATAAACTTGTTGCATCTCTGGTAGCACTATTTACATTATATGCATGTATAATAAGACACATTTATTGGCCAATTGATTTGTCAACCAGTTGATTTCTGTTGAATCCCATTTTATCCCATAATCTTATCTTCGGTAGCAAAGGTTTATAAATCAGCCTTTCTCCTTTTCTGCTCTGCAGTGAAGGTTTGACTGACAGACTGGCCCACCAGGTCACGTCTGAACGTTTCCACTTCACAATGTTCACTGTTATCAACTCATCATCTTTCTTGCTACATTTAGTGACATTTTAGACAAAAAAACTTCATATCAGCCAAGATCAAAATCTGCAGGTCTTTAAAGATCAGTAACCAGGAATCGGTCATAAAACTGTAATCAGTGCAGCTCTACACACACATTCATAATGTTCTTTGATTAAATCAATTTCTCTTAAGTGTTACTCCAATAGCTAAAAATGTAATTTTTCCAGGTGAATCTTTCTGCCATGAGAAAGCTCAGCCCTGAGTTTGACTGCAGGCTCCTATTTCTGCTAACATCGTGGTTCGTTTCAACTTTAAAGGCTCAAAATAAATAATCACAGATGATGATATTTATCACAGATAAATAATCACATGTGTCTTCCTGCCTGGGAGAGGTCGCTGAATTATTTCTGTAAGTCACAGAAATAATTCTGTGACTTACAGATGCATTTTACAGAAATGAGGTCAATGTCATAATTTTACTGATGAAGCTGCTTCCTACTGGAGTTCTTGATTATATTTTTACCCAGTGTGTCGGAGGAGGGAAAGTTGTTTTGGAGACACCTGAGAGCCATGGATCTTGCTTTCTGTAAAACATTGTTTTTTGTATTTATGCTTTTATTGTTATGTTGTAGCACTTTGACATTGTTATTATTTCCCTGAGGTTTGGAACTCTTTAGTCCAAATCTACAAAAATAAAATAAACCAGTAATCATTTAATGTATAAAAAATTAATTGCAGTTTTGACAGAGGAAGAAGTTTTAATGTATCAAAAATTTGAACTTGTACTCTGATTTGTATTTAGCTAAGAAAAATCCTTTATGGACCAAGAAATGGGAGGAGTTTTTAGTTTTGATGCATTGAAAATCTGATCTGTTTCTAAAAGCAACAGGAAAGAAACGGTTTCTCGATGCTAATTGTTGTTTGTGTTCAGCTCTGCAGATGTTCCCCAGTCAGCCAGCAGGGGGCGGCGCTGCAGAGGCCTTTCAGAGCCTGCTGAGGATTCTGGGACCTGAAGCCGCCATGGAGTCCATCATCAGAGCCGTTAGCCTCTCAGAGAGCGACCAACTCAGCGATTAGCAGCTCCAGAGGTTCTGCTGGACCTCAGCTGATCCTGAACCAGAACTTTATTCCCCATCCTGGACGAGACAAACGCACAGGAAGCAGACAAACCAGCAGAACCCTTTAGTCCAAATCTACAAAAATAAAATAAATGATTTCAGTAGAAAACACCAGACAGCTGTTTGGATAGTCAAAATGTTTCGAGGTTAATAATATTAAGAGATAAAAAGAGGATACAGCAAATAAGGAGCTTAATTTGCCGTAGATCAGGCAAAGCAGATCTACGGAGCTGCTTTGCCTGTTCTAGGAAAAAGGGACTAGTTTAAGTTTCTTAGTAGAGACCAAGACGTCGCTTCACACCGACAGGAAACGCGTTTTGATGGCTACGTTGCCGGATACCGACGGGCTTATTAACAGATACCTGATGGCTTTCAGCCCTCCTGAAAGCCATCAGGAGGTCTTTCAGCCGTCACAATCTACAAAAACTCTTGAAGAATCTGGATTTAATGAGTTGCGACATTTAATTTCACTGTTGAAAATGTAAAAAAAAAAAAAAAATTAATTGAATTTGAAAAAAGTTAGTCTGTCGCAACAACGCAACAACATTTCCATGAGCCAACAGAGCAGAGAATCAGGATTTAATGCCAAAAAAAAAACAATTTCCAACATAAAAACCCAAAACAGAACATTTAGTTCTTCACACTGTCATGTTTTCAGTCTTCATGTTTATTTTTGCGATTATTAAGTGGTCGCCTGGACACATCGAGTGTGTGAATGGAAATGACTGATTTCATGTGTTTGAGTGTCTTGTATAAGTTTGATTCATGGACTCAACAAGAGAGATCTGATATAACACAAGTAATACGAAGAGTCGGGTTTTTACGTCTGCAGATGGTTTTTCACTTCATTTCATACTGAAATATTTAAAATCTTCATCGCTTGTAATACTCATAATTATGGTTTACAGATTATGAAGACCTAAAATTCACTGCTTTTGGGAATTAGAGTATTATTAGTAATGATAACTGGAAGGTCATCTTTGGTAGATAAAACTGCTATCAACTAGATGATTTCTTTTTCTTTTATTGCACTTTTTCACATTCTCCCGTGTTTTATTTTGGACAGAGGAGCTTTTCTGATTCACAACACAAATGTGAATAGTTTTGAGATTTCCTATTGTGTTCAGTGGGTCATTGAAGTGACTTACCATAATTGGTAATACCATTAGCACCAGTATGTTACCAATATTCAGGTGATCAGTGAAAACAGGCAGGAGCTCCAACACCACCTAGTGTAGATCTGTGCACATTCCTAAACTACATATACACCCAGGTGAAATACTTTCGCAAATAACCGGCAGATTTTGCATCAACAAACTGTGTTTTCTGTAAACCCAGAAACACAGCAGGTCATTTATGTTGGTTCTTTATTCTTGAGCTTTCAATAGACAGCAGCTTCTATCCCGTCTGAATTACACAAACAGTTCTGGGTTTCAGGACCAGAACCCCAGGTTTTCCAAAAGAGCTTCAGCTGGGTTTGAAATAAAAAATATTCTAAAAATTATTTTTTAGGTTCTGAACTACTCCAACTACTGAAATAAAACTCATCAGCGAGTCCAAGGTAACGTACAAATTGATCCTGATGAACTGGAACCATAAATATGAACAAGACAAACACATAATTCACATATATTCATATATATTTGAGTTTATTAGACTCTAAATGTCAGATATTGTGGTTTATTCTCAGACAAAAAACAGCATGACTCAGTTTTACATCTGAAAACTCCACGACAGAAAATCAGCTAAAATCTCGTGGAAGAGGAACAGCCTCATGCAGGGGTTCTGCAGGGGTTCTGCACGGCCCACTGCGTGTTTTCATGGTCACTCAGACTTTTATTTCCTCCACAGCATGAAAGAGATCAGAACAAACTCATGTTCATGTAGAAAACAGCGTTTAGATCAATATGAAGTTTATAAACTGGTTCTAGATTCTGCAGTTAAAGTTGTGGGTAAAAAATGTTTATTATAATTAATGAGGAATAGGTTTTGATTTGTTGTTTCAAAATGTGTTTATTAGAAAAGCAACGACTACTTAGCTTATTATGAAATGTTTAATAAAATCCAACAGTGTATAAGTTAGAAAGTCCAACAGTTTGGTCCTGATTCTGATGGAAATGGAGGAAATCCTGCGTTTATTTTCAGAACAGGAACAAAAACAGTTTCTAAATGTTAGAAGGAGGAAAATGTTCTGACTGAATCTCTTAACAGATTTTTCTCATTGATCTCATTTATTCAAAAGTCATGTTTTCTCTGTGATTCAGCCAACAGGAAGAGGTTTTAATTGGACTTTCAAAATAAAAGTTTTGTATTAAGATTTGTTGTTTTTAGGAAACTGTTTAGTTTTTTGCAGCAGGTTTTCCACAGAAATCAGCAGCAGTGATGGAAGCAATATGTGAGGCCTGAGTGAGGAGAAAACTGAAACAATCTACATTTGGTTCTAGAAAAAAGATCAGATTCACTTCTGGGGTTTAAGGAATGGCTGGAGAAAAACTTGAAGACAAGTATGACCTGATGCATTAAATCCCTTTTTAACATCTGAATAATTGACGTTGCATTACTTCCCATCTCCATCCAGGATCTGTTGTCCTTCAAAAGTCTGGGTTGTCTGGCGGATTAAAGAGGGACGTCAGGCGGGTTGTTCCTCCTGACCCGCGCCTTCCGGTTCTCCTGTTTCAGCTTCAGAAGTTTCTGCTGCTTGCGTTTCTCTCGGTACCACAGTTTCTCGCAGTACTCGTCCACGCTCTGACTTCCCACCATCTGCAGGTCTTTGTAGCTCCTCGGAGGAGGCGGCCATGAGTTCCTGTGTGGCGGCAGAGGAGCGGCCTCAGACTGACCCAGAAACCCGGCGGCTCCTCCTCCGGCCGGGCCGGTCCTCACCAGGCTCAGGAGGTCCGGCAGGTTGGGACTGAGGTTCTGCAGGTAGCGGGCCAGATGCAGGCTGCGGTTGGGGATGATGTGAAGTCGGTACCGGCCCAGGACCTGGCTGTAAGAGTGGTCCTGGCTGGTGCAGGTGTATAAGCCGGCGTCAGTCAGCTCCAGGCGTTGAACCAGCAACCCTCGCTTCATGCTCAGGAAGCGGTCATCGTCACTGAGCGGGAGCTGAGAGGACCAGAGCAGAGGAAGATGTTAGAGTTCAGCTCATTTCACCTTCGTCGTCTTTATTACTAACTTCAGGTGAGTTGGACAGGTGTCTCTCAAAGACAAGTGTCTCTCAAAGCATGTGGAGGCGCGTCGAGGTCATATTAAGTCACCATGTCATAACTGGCAACTTTCTCTTGGCTCACCGTTAAATTATCTGTCACTGCAGACTGATCATGAATTTATTTGGGATATTTTAAAAGCTTTTATTGAATTTCTAAACCACAAAACTACAACCCTTCATTTTAAAGAAAGCTTTGGCTCATTTGATGTTTGAGAAAATCATCTGCAGACAAAGAGGTTCATCAAACCAGAGCTAATGTGCAGGAGGAGCCTTGGTGGAAGCAGGTAAACGTGTCAAAGGTCAGACCTGCGGTGTTGAATGCACACCTGACTGACGGCTTTCTGCTGACTCTCTGAGCGCCGCACCGTCCAGCGGAGCTCAGCCTGCAGCGACCGAGGAGCGCACTCCAGGAACGTGGAGTTTCCCTCGACCCCGTACACCACCTTCACCTCCACCGAGTCGGAGTCTGACGAAAAAACAGCAAACATAATTAAATAATTACAAAAATATTCTTTCAATTTAATCATACATACATTCCAATAAATTCTAAACCTCAAACAGTACACTTAATTAATTATTCAGTTATTTAAAAAGTTTATCTAAGAGAAGGTAGAAAAATTGTTTGCATTGTGTCGTTGGTTACAGCAATGCCTCGTACTGAACATGCATGTAGCGAGAGTGGAGAGGAAAACTGCCTTTTAACAGGAAGAAACCTCCAACACAATCAGGTACAAGCGACCGTCTACCAACACTGACTGGAGGTTTGAGAAGGCAGCCATAGTGCTTTTCTAAATTTGTAGATGCAACAAAAAAAATCCCTTAAAGGGTGCCACATATGTGGCTCAAGATTCATCAGCTGAGACACTGACTGCTGCAGGAGGAAAAACAAGGAAACCAAAGTGAAAGTAAGAGAAGAAAGTTTCAGCAGGGGGGAAACTGGTTTCTGGGTTTAACTTTCTGTGTTGTGCGACGATGTGATTACAGGAGGATCTCTGCTGTCAGGACGTCTTTAAGGATCCAGTTGTTCTGTGTGACCACAGCTTCTGTAAGGAATGTCTGAAGAGCTGGTGGAGAGAGAAACCAGCAAGAGAGTGTCCAGTTTGTAAGAGGAGATCTTCTCAGGAGAAGATTTGCTTCTTCCGAACCAAATCAGGTTCTGGATAACCTGTGAGGCTTTCTCAAAGCAGAGCGTTTCAGAGGATCTGTAAGAAACTCAAACTCTTCTGTCTGGTGTGTCTCGTCTTCACGATGAAGATCTCAGTGAACTAAAAAGTCCAATATTGATCAGATTGAAACTCAGTGATTTAAACAGAAAACTGGAGACGATCTGATCTGATCATCTTGTTGTTTTCAGATCAGCTTCATCAAACTAAATGTGACATGAAGTGGATGATGTGGAGTTTAGCTGTAGATCTTTACCTTCCTCAGTGACTGGACACTGACTCCAGGGGTCTCCATACTTCACATCCTGTCTGCGAGCTCGCCTGATACGCAAACAAATCAGAATATGAGTCGAGTTTCTACAATTCATCATCAATAACAGAACTGTTTTCTTTCCACTGGTATCTTCAGCTTTGCTTCTAAGTGACCCTGTTTTAAGCCACTTATTTATTGTTATTTTTAACCAGCTTCCTGCCCCTTAAACTCAAATCCCGGCAAATAAACTGTTGTTTACATGCAGTACCTTGTAGACCACGAGGGGGCGCCAGTTTGAGAAAGACCGATCTAGATCTAGGTTAATAAGGAGAAGACTGCCATCTAGTGTTTGTGAATAGAAATTGCTGGTTTAACGTTGGGGACAGCTGGTGACCTCAGGCCTGACTGAGCGTCTCTACCTCCTGCTGGTGGGGAAGTATCTGGAGCAGTTCTGCCCGTCCCAGGAGCAGTACGGGTCTCTGGCCAGGCAGCACTCGGCGCAGTCGGACCCGTAGAGCTCACACCTCTGCAGCCCCAACTGGACCAGGCCGAGCTCACTGCACACGTACAGCTGCTCCTGCAAGAGGAAAGCACACGAGCTCAGGTTCATTACGCTGCTGAGGTTTTAATTCTCCACATCTGTGTTCAGTTTTCTCTCACTTCATCATCCTGATTACTGACCTGAATCCCTCGCTTCCTCTGTTCTTCTTCCCAAATCTGGGATGTTTTGTCTTTTCTAGCTGAACTGGCTGACAACTAAATGTGCTTCTCACATGAAATCATGTTTGAATCAAATAGAAGCATTTTCTCTGATACCCAAATGCAAGAGAAAAAATAATTGCAACTCATCTAACTCTTCATTTTATTTTTTATATTGTTTAGCTTCCTCCAGAAAAACAGACAAAATTGAACAAAAAACCTTTTTTAACCAGATTCAGTCTGAATGATTTAAGTGGTAGAACCTCAAGCCCAACTTTTTCTGACTTTAAATAACTGCTTGGTTTCGTTAAAAACAAAAAAGAAAAATCCTGCTCATTTAAAGAGGTTTGCAGGTCAAAACATGAAGAGAAAGTGACACCAACCCGTTTGGTCGACAGCTCCATGCTCAGGATGGGAGTCGGAATCTGTAGGGTCAAAAAATACCAAAGAAAAATTAAAAATATGTTCGACGTGATAACAATAAGAGTG